GGAAGATTCTGTGGTATTGATATAAGCCACTATGTGACCATATATGTGTGTAATATATCTGATTGTGATGGGAAGATTCTGTGGTATTGATATAAGCCACTATGTGACCATGTATGTGTGTAATATATCTGATTGTGATGGGAAGATTCTGTGTTTGTCTCATCTGAAGCAATTCATCTGGGTTATTTTTGACGGGGTTTTGTATTCTCTGTATGTTGACCTTATCCTAATTATACATCACTGAAATAATCTACAGAAAATTACTGTAACAATCTTTCAGATACATAATTTTGGAATCAAGGATTATATTTTTTCTATATGGCATTATGGTGCTTTCACTGCATTGAATAGCAAAATACTTTTCAATTTTTGCTATCCCTCAATAGGTATGTTTCACTTTTAAAATTTTATTTCTGAAAGTAGCACAGTATCTATAAATTTCAAAATTTTCCCCATTGCAGAGATTGAGTCATTAACATAATGTTTATATGTCTGGACAGGGAGAGCTAGAATGATAAATATTCTGTATTTGTGATCTTGTTGTATATACTAAACATTGAGACCTTTTTATTCTAAGCGCTAATAATTTGTAATTCTATTTATATATTTATATATTTATTTATTTATTTATTGCCAAACATGTTTTGAAATTCAGTCTGTTTACAAAATTTTTAATTTTGAAAAGATTTAGTCTGATTATTGAAACTTAGTTTTAAAGAACTGTTATATGACAATTCTTATAGGCCTTCAGGATTAACTTAAATGTCCTACTATATATGTATGCTACCATCCAAAATTACTAATTCAAATTTAAACTTCAGGTATAAGTTTAGATTTGCTCTCTGTTTAACCATTGCTACATAAAACTGCCAGCTGGTATCATTGGCTTCTAGATGTTGCTCATTGCCCTTTTCTATTGTATTAAGGCTTTGTGATGGGCCTCTTTCCCCCACACCTCTTATAAGCTTTTAACTTGTATTTCTACACTCTGTGCCATAGTTTGAGGTTTCCCTATTCTTCTTGTTACTGTGCACATGTGCACTAGAACATCCGCATCCATTATTATGTCAAGTTATCCGTAACAAATGAATAACTATATAATAATAATAATAATAATAATAATAATAATAATAATAATAATAATAATAATAATAGCCTATACAGTATTTTAAAGTGTTATAACAATTATTCTAGAGTCATATCATTAGGAGTATTCAATTACTCTCTCTACAGTAAAATCCCATCAATGTTAGCACATTTCCCATGACGCCATAGTAATATTATGGCACATTTCACATCAATCTTGGTAAAAGTAATAGGAGATTCAGATTGTCCATATAGGTCCCTCCACATACTAACAAGAGAAGGCAATCTCCACTGGGGAAAATTAATCTAGATTTTTTTCCTGGTAATGTTATTGTGTGCATTAAGAAAATCATTACCACAGGGAATGGCCAAGTCTGGCACAGAAGCATGCAATCTGGACTTGGTGTAATTCCTGCCCTCATCAGATATGCTTGCTGGCCAGGTGCTTGAAGTTAGCTAGAAGTTCAAATGAAGTGGAATAATGTGTTCATTAATTAACAGAGAGAGCCAAAACAGAAGAAAACTAAATGACATTGTGAGATACAGTGTATAAACATCAAAAACATTCTGTAGGCCAAGACTGTAGAAAACTGACACACATATTACAACTTCAAGTCTGTGAACATTTTTGTTGGAATGAATCTACTTTTTCAGATGGTTGTGCTGGAAAAGTTGAAAATACAGTCTCTGTTGGATTATTTTTATTTATTTATTATTAATTATTTTTTGCAGAACTTTATTTATCACAAAGGATGTATCATAGAGGCTGTGACTTTTAAATGACAAGTTAATTAGTTTGTCTTTCAGATATGAAGTTTGAATTATCAGGAACAATGGTTTTCACTTCATGCAATGTTCAAGTTGAAAAACAATACCCTGACTGCGAACTGACAATGAGAATTGTTATATAACAGTTCTAGCTATTGGAGCTGTCTATAAGATTTGTTATAGAACAGTTGGAAATATTGCTGTTATATTAACATGATGCTGTGACAGGGTTTATTGGAATCTTAC